CCCCCCCCCCCCCCCCCCCCCCCCCCCCCCCCCCCCCCCCCCCGGAAATGAAATCCTAGATACGGCCCTGGGTCTGCCATCGTTTAATGTCGAGAAGGTGATTGTATTCGTCATCCAGTTTTTCGGATTAATGCAAGTCACAATTTTCGGAAAGAATCAGGAGGCAGACGCGAAAAGACGTGGTACGACTTGTGGAGGTTAGGTTAAACACCCTCGTTTCAGTGCTCAGTGTAAACATTTTGGTTATGCATTGCTTGTACTGGATGTAGCTCTGACTGCCATTGCCTGAATGCATAAAATACTATCACGAATCTTACTCCCCCCCCCCCCCCCCAACGACCTTTTGAACAGAGAATGCGATGCACGCGGTGGTGATGGTGTGCGTGACGTGTCACTTGCATGCTGCATGTGTATGGTTGTAGGGCTGGAAATCGATGGGATCTCGGTGGAGGTGATGTGGTCGAAACCGGTGGATCGGAACGCGTACCGCCTCACGAAGGCCCTGTCGAAGAACCACCACCCCCACGGGATGTTCGGGTCCGTGAGCCCTCCGCCGCCGTCCATGCAAGCCCTGCCCGCTCACTACGACCCCATGATCCCCAACGCGACCGGGTGAGTCTGTCCTTCGAACGATTTCCGGTTCTGGCGACCGGTGCGAGAGACAAACCCCTCTTTGTTCCAGATAAGATAGGGATAAGCCCTTCGATTTTGCGAGCCACTCGATCGGTGAGTAGGTGAAGGCTCCCTGAAGGATACCCTTTTGAGTCTACGAATGAGCATGGAATGGAAACGCGGACGGAGGTAGAAGTTGGAAGAGACGAAAGACAATAGAGAGTGAGTGGGAGAGATGGGGGGGGGGGGGGATGAGCTTTGGCGCCTTATTCAGGCGGGAGAAATGAGCTCCCCTCGTGTTAGGGTCTCAGCAACTTCAGCTATTTTCTACTTGGCAAAATATGACAGGCACCCGAGAGACGTCTCGATTCGCCTTCATGAATTCCGATTGGAACTGTGCTCTTTTCGATGGTACCGATTCCTCTGGCTCTCTCTGCATTGGAAAACTTAGAGGTAAGTCCTTCAGTCGACTAGGGAGCTGGGGACCGGAAACCGATGGGTAAAAAAGACAATGTTTGCCGTTAGGAGGACAGGCTTCAAGTATTTTGTGTCGCTGCCAGCAGAGAACTTGAATGACAAAGAAGAGATCAGCTATTCTTTCGTGCTCCAAAATCCATATAGTCCATGTTCCTGGGGCACGATGGACTTCTCGGTAGAATTTGACTTCACTCCGTTAGCGTGCGTTTTCACACCAAGTGCATATCGTATGCCCTGGAGAAAGGCTCCTTCCCCTTCAGGAGACACATGACGGACCGAGAAACAATTTTTGCCGGGGAGGGACACATAGGACCCTGTACCAAGGGAAAACACTGCATGACGGAATGAGAAGTAACAGTATGGACGGGAAATAGAAAGAAAACGAACTACATTGAAAAAAAAAACAGTGAAGATGATGCGATTAGCCGTGACTCATGATAGGAAAATGGAGGCGCTCCCGGCAGTGACGAGGACCAAGGTGTAAAAAAGAGAGAGAGTATGGGTGATAACATCCATAGCATTCAGAAGAAGTGCACGTTGACGTTCTCTGTCGCATCCCCCCGCCTGTGCATGACACGCTGCTGCGATGGGAACTCGCTTCCCCAGGCGCCATGCTTGTTCTCACTCAGCGGGGGCCGCTGCTCTACGGTGCCAAGCTGTCTTGGCTTTTCACTAACCCCCCCCCCCCCCCCCCCCCCCCCCCCGATCGTGCGTACGTGCGATGCGCCTCCTTCCCTCGGGTTTCCCTACAGGAAAGCGTGCACTGGCGGAAGGTTGCGTTTGCGACGAGGGATTCTTACTTGAACCCCGTTTCCCTTCGTGTGATGATGCCTCGAATTATCAATGTATAAAATTGTGGACGTCCTAGTCATATGGGAAAGGAAGCTGAAAATTTTCCTGCACCTTGTACTTCGTAAGGATCGTAAGTAGTGCCTTAGGAAACCAGCAGTAACAGCTGAAGTGCTACGTCCACCGGAAATTTGGAAAGACTACGACGGCGCAACAACTTCCAGTTTAGGAAATGTATGCAGTTCTAAGTACCCACATCCTCATTGCGATTATGCTTCAACGCAACAAAAATGTTCCAAGTACGAACCGGGTCAAGGAGACGATATGCGTGTAGAATGTAGTGACCATGGCGATCCTTGATTCCCCCCCCCCCCAAAAAAAAAAAAAAACAAACAAACAAATGTAACTGACAAACATGCTCATCCTTGATGTCTTCTTCGTTGTGGGTGATTCAAATACCCTCAATGTCCTTAGTGAAAAGCCAAGACAGCTTGGCACCGTAGAGCAGCGGCCCCCGCTGAGTGAGAACAAGCATGGCGCCTGGGGAAGCGAGTTCCCATCGCAGCAGCGTGTCATGCACAGGTGGGGGGATTTCTTGCACGGGGTGCCTCCGGTTTCCGCATGAACCCTAAACTAAATTGACTTTTTTCGTATGAGTTCGTGAAGTCTTGATTTTCCTGTTCTTCAGCCTGACTAAAACTTAAATAGGCTTGCCTTCATTTACGAGACCTGTTCGAAGGGATTTTATCTCTGATAGAACGTGATGCGGGAATAGAATTCTTCGCATGCGTGTTTTGCACTCTCCATCTAGGTCGACTTTGACAGGCCTCGAGTCACGGCTCAAGTTTCTTGCTTCGTTCGTACCGGTATTACCCATTGAGGTCTTATCTTTTGGATGCTGTATCCTAGGTTACGTGACGTCATATTTCGGGGGAGAAAAAACAAAAGAGTAGCACAAGTGACGGTGACTCACATGTGCGTATCCTTATCTTTGCATTCCAGACTGTGTGTATCCGATTCGGAATCGGAAGTCCACTTGCCGAGTGCCGCTTTAAAACCCATCCACAGGAAAAAGGAACTCGTTTCTTGCCGTAGCCCAATGATGGATACCTCCGCAGCACGGTGGACAGTATGTAGGGGGAACACGGTTGGCTTATAGGGGAACAGCGCTGATTAGTACCGTAAATTTATTGCCCTTAATCTCATCATCCTTCTGGAGGTGGATATCGGCCTTAGCGGGAGTAGAGGAGGGCCTGTACGCCTGTAAATGGGATCTCCATTTCATGGGAACGTTTTGGATGTTGCAGGAGCGCCTTGGTGCAAGCAGGGCATTTTACTCGTGGGAACGGGGGGAAAGGAAGAGGAGCAGCCGGATTTCGAGCTGGGCGGGGAACCACCATCCCTTTGCCTCTCCTAGCCAAGAATCCTCTCTTTCGCCGCGGACACATCGAGGTGTCTACCTTTCTCTTTTCTCCTTTTTTTTCTCTGTTCTGTTTTCTATTTCTTGGATGGTCGCCCTTCAGCTTGCACGCTCACACGGTTCTTCGCTATGTAAGATTGTAAATGCATGCTTGAAGGACTGAGTTTGCATGGTTACTTTTTGCATGGCAGCTGAGGCAATGGTATGATCTTCAACCTGGCATGGATCTCATTCCCACTAACCCTTACACTCTCCGACCCTACAAGCCTCCTCAACAGGTAGTACAGTGATGTCGTTGAAGTCGCATGTTTTCGTTCTTCGCTTTTACTACCATCTGTATGCTCTCCCTGTGTTGTATAAAATCCCTCATTTGAAGTTCACATGTCTGACTTTCTTTACAAGGTTTTGGAGGAATTGTGCGCGAAGAACAACCTGGGAAGTCCCGTGTATACCCTTTTGCAGACAAAGGCCGTTCCGGACGACAAGGGTGAACCCTTGTACTTGTACAAGGTGAATGAAGACCTTTTTATTCGTATGCATAGATTTTTCCCCCATCGAATTCAATAATGATCAACGTGTGTTCTGTGATGCTTTCCAGATTACTATCCCGGGGATAGATCATCCTTATAACAACTTGCAGCCCAACAAATTGGTGAAGAATCCAGAGGAGGCCAAAGACGTGGCAGCAGAACATGCCCTTAGCCAACTCGGCTGCCCTGTTGAAGGTAAAAGAGACTTATATCATGGTAAGGATGCAGATGAGAAGACGCGCTTACGTTGACTTGGATCGATTGTGAATGCTTGCAGGTTGCATGGTGCCTGTGCCAGTGTGCTTGCCACCTCCTCCGCCCATGCAAGCGGGTGGATTGATCATGAGGTCACCTATGCCTCAAATGGCTTCTCAGTTCGTGACTGCAATGCCTCCAGCAGGGAACTCGAACATTCTTGCTCACACCACTCCGACCACCTACCTCTTCCAGGCCAATCCAGCCAGCAGCAAAATGACCCGTAAGATTCCAATGGAAGTCGATGGGTGCTTCCCGTCCTTCCTTGATCCCACTCCCTCCGGCAGCTTCTTTAGCAGTTCTGCTTCAAGCTTCTGGCCAGGTGATGTGCCACCCGCCTCTCACCAGGGCTGAGGTCTGCCTTATGTCCGCTTCTCTTGCCCTTCCTCCTGTTCTCTGACTCGTGGACTTCGAATGATCTCTTGTCTGGATTTCTTTCAGCTTACGAGAACCACTACTATGATGGGATCCCAGCCATGGTACCTCCCATATATTGAGACTACGTGGAGCATTGGCTTATCGGGCTAGTTGGTGGTTTTTATGGCAGTTCATACCCACCTTTTTCTTCTCTTTTTTTTTTATTTCATGCATGTTCTTGTCAAGTTTCAACCATGCCAGAATGATACAACCCCTGGAAGTAGGTGTGCAACGTTCTCGGTGTTCAAAAGAGATCTGAAGCTTTCGTATGAACAGGTATTTATTTTTTTTTTAGTCGGATGAATAAGGGTAACTGGTCGCCTTTATCATCCGTGTAAGGGTGATAGCAATATCTTCAGAGGACTTCAGGAAATTGCTCTTTTATAGCACCATAAATAAGGTTGTCATAGAGCCATTGAATTGCAGGAATTAAATGATGTTTTATCTCTGAGAAGCACTTCGAAGTTCTGGCTTATCATGTTTAGGAGACCTGTGTATCATACGTCTTTTTCACTATCATGGCAATAACCCATATCCTAACAGCATGGCTTCAATCAGGCACTGATGGAATGGCAATGAATACGTTTTGCTACTTCATTACTTGGTAATGAATTGGTAATGAATATTGAATCAAGAATGGCATGGCAACATGTGTCAATGGTATTTTCATTAGTATAATTTTCAAATCATTTGGGGAATATCATTCTGGATGGATAGCTGCTTTTATTCAGTCTGTATCAAAGATGAATGTTGTACTTTTCAGGTCCTTGTCTTTTATCTTAGTTGTACATACTTTTGTCTTGTCTTGATTTTCCAAAGCTGATTATTTTTTTGATCGTTTTGTTTGATCTGTATCTAGAGGAGATTCTTTTCAGAGTGATTGGCCTGTACATTTTGAGATTTGTAACCAAAGTATCATATCCATGTTATTTGGATGTCCCATTGCAGTCTCTCTTGTCACTTTTTCATTCTCTTCACTGCCTGATATCATGCCTCTCCTGTAACTAGAAGTTCTTAGAATTCCTACCGTGCATTTTCCTGTGACATCCCCCCTGTAATTATTACCGATCACATTGATGCAATTTCATTCCCTCCTTGGAAGTTCTGACCACTCGCACTTGCAGATTCAGTGGGAATGGTCATGATACTAGCTGGTGACCTTGTATCATACTCTTTGATTTCTCACTTTCTCCTTGTACATAGTACTTGATACCAGTGCCTTTGATACCGGTTTCCATTTTTCACCATACCCTGTGTCCATGTTGCTGGAACTCATTTTTGGTCTCTTCTTGGCAACTACTGTAGTTCTCTGTGGCTACCAATATTTATACAGAAATGAGTGTGGAGAATATATGTTCTTACATTCACAGTCATGGGCAATTTATTGGCTGAGACTTAGTTTGATGAAATATTGCTGAGTGCCTCCAAAAAGGTTACTGACTGGAAGTCTTTAAGCACATGTCCAGAGGTCTATCTACCCAGCAAGTTTTTCTGCATGCAATGGAGAATCAAAATTTTCAGTGCTGGCTTGTGTCCACAATAAATTGGGAAAAGAGATGTGAGGTACAGTAGAATTTAAAATTACTATGCCTGCATCCTAACTGTGCCAGACAAGGGGACACTGTGTGCAATAGAATCCCTTGCTTGGCATATTGGGTCTGTCAGGGCATCGATCACTCAAGTTGAGACTGATGTTACAAGATATGCTGTTTCTCTTCATCTCAGCTCTCATGCCTCAATACTGTCCTCACTGTGAATGAACAATGAACCAGCAGGTAGTATTGCCTACTGCTAATCACATGAGAACTGAGAATGTTTCTTGTTTTTGTAGGTTTTGGTTTCAGTCTTACTTGCTCAACTATGCTTAAATACCATGTAGCTATGTAATAAAACTCCTGACACTTAGTATTACTGTGAGCATATTTCTATTCTGCTTTGCTTTGTTTTTCTGCAATGCTCCATTAAAATCATTCACTGCTTATGGTACATACTGCATGAATCTTCCTAGTTTCTGAAGCAGATCAAAGAGGCACTGTGGAAACCACAGTATCCCTCATGGCTATTATGTCCATAGTTCCTTCTTGAATCCAGTTCACAATTTGGTATTTATTGGTGCAAGTGCGACCATACACAAATGTATAAATATGTAGACTATAATTATTCAAGTTCCAACTAATGAGAGCTGTGAAATTGAGAAATAGTAAGAATGAATTAAATATAGCTTTCAGGCATTTATTCCAAGACTCATCAACACATTTTCTAAATGTGGTGGATGATAGTCAACATCTCCTAGAGATGCCTATCAGGTATAGCTTCATCTTTTACAGTACACTTAGTCAGTATTTATTTCATGTCTTGTGCAAATTGGGGCACTTAACCTCTTACTGGGTATGACAGATTTATCCATCATTTAGGTTTTTTTCATGATGAGTGCACCTAATTTCTTCAACCTTTCCACAGAATGTAATAGGAGAGTTTGGCCTCCCTTGTAGTCACAGGCAACTCAACATAAAATTCACCTACTACAAATGAAACCATGCAAGAAATTTCAGGATTTAAGATTGGCATTTGCCCCTTCTAATAAGGACATAGATGAGGAGGAAGATCAAGCCACAAGAGAAGAGAGCACTGACAAGAGTCTGTGGCAGTGCCCTCAGATTATTTTCAATGACAACTGTGAGGCTGGAGGGGAAAGCATTTCTCTCATGGCTAAAAACAGAACAAGTGTAGTGAATGTGGATGTAACAGTAGTCATGGAACTCAAACCAAGGGATAGGATGGGAACATGCAGCCCATGCCAAGTCCAGCCAAAGCTGTACCTCCTCAAAGAGCTGCTGGATTTTTATGTCCAGCAGCAAGAACTATGATTCCTCACAATTGGAAGAAGTCTCCCATGAGCACCAGTGGCTGGAAGTAAATGGATAAAATGATGGACCCAAAACAGGCACCTGCATAGCATCCATAATAGATGCTCTGCAAGTTAGCTGCTCGTAACTTGGTAAAGTTGACGTGAGCAAGTTGGGAAAATATGACCATATGCCGTCTCCATCCCCACATAGAGACAAGTGAATGTGCCAGGGGTTGCCAAACGGCAGCTTGTGAGCTGCATATGTGACTCCTGGGCAGTTCAAGTGTGGCTTGGAGTGAAATGCTCTAGACTTGAGTCTACACATGCGTTCTCTAGAGTCTAGAGGATGCATGTGTAAGGTGGTGTGTGTCTTGTGGCTCTTAGCCATATTATGATTTTAAATGGCTTGTAAGGTCAGGAAGTTTGGACACCCCTGGAATATGTTCAATAGAGAGATCATGGCCTTTCTCATTTTAGATGATAAGAAACCCTCACTTTTCTTGTTCTCCCAGTCTGGGTGACCCAGTTTCACTCCTTGGATGTGAAAGACAAGGAAAGGCATGGGGAAACGATGATCATGTGGTAGCAAACAATGAGGTATGGAACAAACAGTTTTTGATTTCCTATATAGCTGTGTGTTGTTTTGCATTCCAGGATCACCACATGCTCCAACTTCCTCATCTTCATGAGATAGGGAAGGCTTTGCTATTTGAGGGATGAGAACACCTCCAATCCCAAAGCATAAGTGCAAGGCTTGCATGTAAGGTCCTGATTCAAGCCCCCTGATGTCCAAGATGGTGATGTTGTTAGTCGAAATGGAATCAACAGCTATAAAGATAAAAGCCAAACATTCTTCCAATAATTAAAGGGCTCTCACCAGTGTCAATGAGCCCCGAGAAGATTCCTGAGAGTAGGAATGTGGGTTCAAAAAGAATAGGTTTCCCTCAGAGAAAGGGACAATTGCTGTTTAGATCCCAGCCACCATTATGATCCAAAACATTCTTCCCATATAGTTAAGCATATCTACTGGGTAGGCAAGACAAACCTCACTCCCACTCAATCAATCCATGACAGAGTAACATACGAGGGATTTCTCAAAAGTTCTTCCAGTAGCCCCAAAGTAGCACTTTGTGGCCACCTCCGATGACGACTTGGGCAGAACTTTTGAGAAATCCCTCGTACAAGGTACAAGTTAACTTGACCTAAATTCCAGTTAACAAGCACTGGAGTCCAAAGGGCCCTGTGGGCATTCCTGATGTGTCTGTATGTGGGTGTTGTTAATTATAATGACTCCTATTATTATAGTACTGGTAAGATCCATAATTAAATACGAAATGGTTTAACAACAGGGACAAATATATTACACTATGTGAGATGACTGACCAGAAAGAGGGGTCCACCTGGGTGGTAGGAGAGGAAATATCACATCCATGTATATATACACAGAAAACTAGAATGACAGAGTGAGTCCCCAGTCTCTGGCCATCAAAGATTTTTTATCTGTTCTGGCTAGGGGCTAGTCTTAGAGGTGGGAGGTGGAGGGAAGGAGGTGACTCCTCCCCCTCATATCCTCTGGTCACCATTTTGAGGTCCTCAACCTGAAAATTTTCAAGCAGCTACCATGCAAACAAGGTGAGCACTTGCTTCTGTTAAAAAGAAGCAAAGCAAACTTGAGAAGTTCTGACTCAGCCTCCAAGTGACTGAGGAGAGTTCCAACAAAGAATCCTCCTTCTGAGCAAGTAAACAGGCTAAATGCAACATCTGCAGCTGATTTCTCCATGTTGGCTGCCAGAACAATTGGTGTTGGGAAAACAATGCCTACCATCATTCTTTATGAAAACTTGGCTGAATTCATACAAGTTTGCAAAAGCACTGGATGACATCCCTTAGGAACAGCATGAAATTGGGAAAATAGTGGTAGTCAAGATAAGTAATCCCTCAGCATCATAAAGGGGATAAAGGTAGAGCTGATAGTGTACTTGTTGGGTGAGGTTGGAGGAGCTTTATATAAGCACCGAGCTTCTGCTACAAATGCTCTCCTACCATAAACAAAGTACCAGATACTCTGCCCTAAAATGATGCTCCATGAATCTGGATTGGCTACATCTTCTATCTCAGATCCTTCCTTGCTTTCATTGTCTCCTTTCATGCTCTATCTAAAAACGCCTCATCACAATATTCTTATATGAAACCACAAAAGCCTGTGTTAATCTTAATATCCTCAATCATCCTCAATGCATGAAAAAAGATTATTCTGAACAGGTCTGAAAAATGTCATATTGATGAAAAAGACCCAAAAGTGAGCTCACCACAGACCAGAATGATGAGCTTACCAACTGGAGGCAGTCTCACACCTTTGGAAATTCACATGGTTCATTTATATCATGAAAGCAAACTTTATTTTTTACAGGTTTTTTATTTTCAGAAATAGGCTCATCACAAATACCAATCACATTCGGTTGCTGCCAATAGTCTGAACTTTTAATGTTCACTAGATCTCCTCTCCATCAGTCATACATCAATCAACAACTACAGGAATACTTTTCTTAAAAAGAAAGTAAACAATATTGAAACCATAAACAACCAATAAAGAAAAACATATTCCATGCATAACATGAAATAGTGCAACAACATGATTAAATGCAAAATATTGCAGATAGTGGTTAGATGCAATACGCAAGGAAAAATGCTAAAAAAAACTCATAATTGAAAGCAGTCACATGCAAAATGGAGGCAATAAATGATAAAATGAAGCGATTCTCACTTGCATGCATACAAAGTATTGACCAGCTACAGAATGCCCACAATTATAGATTAGTAGATTCAGTCAAGGTCAAATAAGTAGTAAGAAGTAATAAATGCCAGGGAAAAAAGTAATATTTAGTATTTCTCAGATTCACTTAAAAGGACAGTAGATAGAAGCACTGGACAGAATGGGCCAGAATTCACTGCCAAGGAAGTTTTCAAGACATGGTTTTCAGCATCTGCCACTTCAGTCACTTTATGCTGACATCTGTCACTTTTAACATGATCAAATTTTATTGACCACATTTTATGAACACTCTATCCCTTCAATTATTGTATACAATGCATAAAAAATAAATTTTAAGAACAAGAAAGAAAGTCACAAAATGGAGAATCTTCTCAGATCGTTTCCAGAGACTCATAGACTTGACTGCAGAAATATAGAATGCAGGGAATCATGGAGAGCCTTCATGGATCTCTAAATGTCATATAAACAAAGCATTAAGATAGCAGCTGGCATATGTACATGATGCCATTGAGGTGAGGACTTATGGAGTCTGTTTTATCCTTCCGACTTTGCAACGGAGGATGAAGAAAAGCACCAAAGAGATGCAGAGAACAGTGACCATGACCTTTGGGAAAACAGATGGATGGGTCTCGATCACAGCAGTGAGGGAAGAAAGGAGGATCATTTCCCCAATTGCAGAGAAGACAAGGAAAAGGGAGGCCAGGGCAGATGTGACTGTGATATACTTTTCAAACCAAAGGATGCTGGATGGAAACATAGGACCAGTACCTAATCCCATGAGAGCTGTCCCTACCCAAAGAGCTGTGCGATTCCACTCCCCTGCAACCAAAACAACTGTCCCTCCAATGATTGCAAGAACAAAGTCCCCAAAGATGAGAATGCTTGGGTTCATAAAGGCTGAAAGTGGTACAGCCAAAAACCTTGCCCCAGTATAGAAGCCCCAGTATGCAGAAGTGAGATGGGCAGCCTCTTTCTTTGTGAAAGAAACTGGGGCATAGACAGCAAAGAAGAATATCACTTGCCCATAAGTAAGCTCAATCCCAACATAGAGAAAGATTATGATGCACATAAGAGTGATCATGCTTTTTTGGGTGAGGGGTGATATCTGCATTCCAGACTTGGCATCTCCTCGGTTAATATGAGCAAGTTTGAAGTCCTGCATGTGAAAATAGAGGAAAGATAGAGCAACAAGAATCATCACACCACACACAATGAGGTATGGGACATAGACTCTTGAATATGGTTGATTGGCAGTGTAGGTGCCAAACAGACCACGGGCAATAATGCCTGGTTCCTCTTCACCTTCCTTTGACAGGAACTCTTTTGAGATTTCAGGGATTATAACACCTCCGAGTCCAAAGCAGAAATGGAGGGCTTGCATGTAGTGACCTGAATCTCCTCCCCACATGTCCAGAAGTGTGACATTGCATACTAAGAAAGAAAATGGCATTCACTAATAATTTCCCATTGTACTGACTAGATATCCACAAAATGGGATGTTTTCCATCACCTGTGTCAACAATGCCAGAGAAGAGGCTACACAGCATGAATGCAAAGCACATGAGAAAAGGTTGATCGGAGAATGGTACACTTGCAGCAGATATACTGGATAAGAGGTAAATCCAGAATATTAGGATCATTCTATCTATATGGCTGATAAGGATGCTACCTAAAAATAGTAGAGAAAAAAGATTCCAGATAGATAAACCATCCTTCACAATGTTAAACAACCTGGAAGTCTTCCATTTCATGGAATAGAAAACATGAATGAATGATATGAGCTTTACTACTAAGGGCTCCAACAAGGTAGCTTCCAGAGCGCAAAAACATGGTGTAGGCGACATCATCAGGCGTCTTCCCCATGTTGGCAGCCAAGTCAATCAATGTTGATGAGATGATATTCATCAGCATACCCTGCCAGGGGGATGGAATTGATACTGCCATAAGAAATATACACTTAGAATGTGTATCTCTCAGTAAATTAAAAACTACACTGACCACTCCAATGAATCCAACAAGAAGACTGGCTGTAGCTGCATATTGCATGTGTCTACCCTCTCTAGGGCTTTGCTGTTCTACATGAAGATCCTCATGATGGAACAGACCAAGGGTAGTAGGTGGAAGCCTGATGGGTGATTCATTGTCATTTACCCTATTTTGGGACAGTGATAATGCATCATTTTTGGTCTCCTCACATGGGCAACTAATGTCCTGTGCCTCCATTCTTTCAAAAACTCAAGGATGCACCTCACTTTCTAGAGTCTTAAGGGTGACAGTACTGTACCTGAAACAGTTTTTTTTTCACATTTCTGGAATAATGATTCACTCAAGTGAAGTGATTCACCCCACTGATAGAACAAACAAGTAGTGCTAGTAATCCAGTAATCTACTTCTGCTATGTATATTTCAAGGAACACTTAAAGCCTTCCTTACCATATAGTCATAATTGAGTTAATATCTAAACAATAAGTGTCAACAACCTATGTAATACACAAGTCATATATGGAAATCACACCTCATATGAAGGATAGTCAGTTCTGAAATCGAATGGCATTGGATTTTGAACCACTTCAAAACAGATCCCCATGTATGGAAAGATACTTCTGATGTCTCTCATGAGTTGCAAGCAACATTGACATTTGTCAACAAACTGTTTTCATTTTTTTTTAAATGCCACTCATGTGCATGTAACATGGACTATCTTTTATAGATAATACTTCTCAACCAATGTAACACTCACACCTCATGATGCAAATAAACCATATCAAACAGTAATACTTGGGAAACTACAAACCACACCACAGACTAATGCTTTGTTGCACTAATAAATTGTAAAGCATATTTGAGAAATTTTGCCTGGAATGCTCTGCATTGGAAAAACCTGAGCACTGTGGTGTTCCTGTCCCGACATATGGGTAATAAAAGAACCCCAAAGGCAAAGCACAGGTATCGCACCTCTGCAGTAACTTAACCATCCAAGTACAGTTCTCCTAGGTTATTTGAGGTTACAGGCAGAGGGGATCAGCTGATGGTTATGGGTGGATAAGGAGTTTAATGGAGTCTCCATATCTGGGTGCATTCATGGCTTGGAACCTCATGCATCTGGTGACTCACTATGTACAATGTAGTATAAAATTTAATGAAGAGGGCTTGGAGAGATAAGACTTGAAGAGCAAGCAAAAAGGGCATACACAATATCTTCTGACTACTTTCCTATATTGCTTGCCAGATCAATCAGATGGATGCAGGAGCTATAATTTCTACCCTATGATAATGTAGATCAGGTGTTCCCAAACCCAGGGTCACAACCCAGGGTTTGGATGTTGAATTTTGAGTTGTGACCAAAAAAGTTTGGGAACCACCGATGTAGATGAATGACATCAAGTATGCAATAACATGGCAAGAAAATAAACCATGTGGAATTTTTTATAAGTCACACCTAACCAACGAGTCTCGGAACAAGAATAGCAGCATTTCGCATAAGCAAAGGCACTTTTTCAATCATTCACATTCCCTCAGTTTGAACTGCATCACTTATGTCAGATAATTCTCCAATGTTGTAAATGAAAGCAGAGATGATAACATCCTCCTTGGTGAAGTGTGGAGAGCTTTATGGTAACACCCAGTTTCTGCAGCAGGCACCCTTCTATTGTTGAAAAAGGAGGGAGATATTAGTCCTTAGAATGAAGGAGGGAGGTGATGGTGATGGGACCAGAAATGCCTGTGCAGAAACTGTCCTTTAAGAATTGGTCTTATTTCCAGGATATAAAGTTTGAGATATTCCATAGCAAAATGACTCTCCACAAATCTAGATGGGCTTCTTCCTTAAATCCTCCTATTTCCCTAGTCTCCTTGCTTGCTCTATTCATTGCAAGAATGAGAGGACATGCCAGGTACATTCATGTAAGAAGTAGTCTATGAAATGAAGTTCTTTTGAGATTGGTCAACCAGTTCCATTATTGGCTCATAAAAATTGAGAACATGCATCTATCCAAAATGCTCAAAGTAATCCATAAGTCACAGAATGAAATGAGATCTCCCAGGGCAAATTTCACTTGCATATAATTATTTCCAGATTACACTTTTGTTTGTCTATATTATAACTGAGAGCTAGATCTGAACTAAATATTTTGCACAATTCCCTTACTTCAAAGGAGTACTTGAAACAGAAAATTGTTCTGAAACACCTACAGAAAGAAATTGAATAATGACTTTAAAAAATGATTCAACTAAATTCTGTAAACAAAGCAAAGAGGAAAATTTTTTTGATGATAGGGAAATAAGAAATGGCAAATAAATATAAATTCTTGAAGGGCCTTTAGAGTTCAAGAAAAACACAAATAAAAGTAAAACTAGACTCTTTTGCACATCAGCTTAATAATAGGTGTCAGTTTGGCCAAGCCATGCCTCTTTCTTGAGAGATGCCAGTGTGGCATATTGGTACATGATGCCATACTTAAATCCCAATGTCAATGGCAGTTTAGACAGTGTAAAACAACTTCTTCCCTTCTGCCCTTGTGGCTTGCATTCAGCACCTATCACTGTGTATCTACCTCATTTGTAGCTACCCATGTGACAGGTTCTTAGTTTATGATGGTATTGTCCCTGTAAATTTTGTGTGCAACAACAGCTGTGAGTGAAAGGATGCACAAAAAACCTTCTGAGATTTGTTTTAAGGAGTTTGCAATATGACTACCAGCACAGAATTACAGAAAGATGGGCATCACATGGAAAGCACAATTGGATTTATAATTATCAAAAATTCAGAGATTCCACAATTATAGAGGACTAAGCTGAATGAAGAGTTAAGTATCCCGCTTTATCTTCCTGGATAGAAGACCAAGAATGATGAAATCTATGGCACAGATGCAAAGGACTGCAACCAAGACCTTTGGGAAAGCAGATGGATGGGTCTCAATGATAGCAGTGAGAGATGAAGGGAAGACCATTTCCCCAATTGCAGAGAAGACAAGGAAAAGGGAGGCCAGGGCAGATGTGACTGTGATATACTTTTCAAACCAAAGGATGCTGGATGGAAACATAGGACCAGTACCTAATCCCATGAGAGCTGTCCCTACCCAAAGAGCTGTGCGATTCCACTCCCCTGCAACCAACACAACTGTCCCTCCAATGATCGCAAGAACAAAGTCTCCAAGGATGAGAATTCCTGGGTTCATAAATGTTGACAAGGGTACAGCCAAAAACCTTGCCCCAGTATAGAAGCCCCAGTATGCAGAAGTGAGATGGGCAGCCTCTTTCTTTGTGAAAGAAATTGGGGAATAGACAGCAAAGAAGAATCCTACCTGTCCATAAGAAAGCTCAATCCCAACATAGAGGCAGATTATGGTGGACAGAATAGCAATCATGCTATTTTTGATACAGGGTGATATTTGGATTCCAGACTTTGTGTCTTCTCTATTAATATGAGCAAGTTTGAAGTCCTGCATGCAAAAATAGAGAAAAGATAGAGCAACAAGGATCATCAGACAACACACAATGAGATATGACACATAGACTTGTGAATAGGGTTGACCCTCAGTGTATGTGCCAAACAGGCCACGGGCAATAATGCCAGGTTCTTCCTCGCCTTCTTTTGACAGGAACTCTTTTGAAATTTCAGGGATTATAACACCTCCAAGTCCAAAGCAAAAATGCAGGGCCTGCATATATGGGCCTGACTCTCCTCCCCACATGTCCAGAATTGTAACATTGCAAGCTGTGAAACAATACAACATTCATTTATGCATCTCTTATTTTTAAAGATATCTGCACCCAAGAGTATATTTCCCATCACCTGTGTCAATGAGGCCAGAGAAGATGCCAGCCAGCATGAAGGCAAAGCTAAATAGAAATGGAGTATCGGAGAATGGTACACTTGCGATCGAGATGCCTGATAAGAGGAATATCCAAAAAAGCAGCATCATTCTCTCCATCAGAGGGACAAGAAAACCACCTGTAAAACAAGATAAAGGAATTTTGAATGATAGGAGATTCTTCTTATTGGACTGGATTCTTATACAAATACACTTCTGCAGATTTACATAGAAACTAATTCTACGTTATGAGCAATAATAATTTAAATTCAATTAATTTAAGGTTGTGTTTCAAGGCAATATGGCATAAAAATGAGTGAAATTGACTTAAGTTCAGCAAGTTCTAAAATACAGGCCTCCCACCTGAAGAAAATACAAGGAAAATGTTGATTCCTATAAAGTTGTTTTGCCCAATAACATTTGCCTGAATAAAAGAGTTTATTTTTATTTTTTACAACATCTCTATCTGATATTGTAGAAGCTTTATGTTTCACCATTCCAGTTTTTTAGCATACAACATCTTACTTGAATGAGGAAGACTTTTGTGAAGTTTTAAAAAAATTCACTCTGCCTTTCCAATGCACAAACTTTTCGAAGTTGGAGTATTGAAAATCATCAATCAATCAAGCAATCTGCATGCTGCTCCTCACCAAATACCTCACTTTCTTGGGCTTAAACATGGGCAAGCAAGGATGGCAGGCAGTCTCATTGAAGGAATTGGTTTTTCTTCTATCACATGTTAAAGTATGTGGTTTGCATTCATAAAATGAAAGGGCGCCAGTTTACTTAACAAGATGCTTGTCCTCTTCACTAAATCTTGTTCTTTTAAAAATTATTATTTGGGATATGACAAAAACTCCAAGAAGAATTGGGCCTGAGGCCTACAGAAAAGCAAAATAATTGATTACAAAAACAAAACAGACTGCAAAGAAAACAACAATAATGCAAGATAAGATATATTATTAATAACCAACTCCTCCATTGAGATGTCCTTGCAATCTGCACCCAGTCATGTTGTATTTTGTGAAATTCTGAACCTTGAGAGGAGCTGTATGCTGATTGCTTGGTGACTTCAGTTTTCAATACTTAAACAGAAAAGTCATTACATTTGAGGCCCTGAGTGACATTTTGTGAAATTAGAGAGAAATCCTTTTTATTTATCAGGGGTGTAAAGTGTAGAGAAATAGCTCTCACTGTCAGAAAAAATTCAGTGTTTTTCACTTGAATTAGACCATTTTTCCCTTGACTAAGACACTCATGCATGAGGAACATCCCATGCACATGTGTCTGATTCATGTGAAAAATGCTGCAAATAAACTGGCCCCATTTCCTATAAGATACAGTATAGTATGCTTAAACATATATCCTCCAAGTGACCCTAATTCTTGCCTATGACAGTGATACAGCCTTGAACTTGCAATAATTCTACCATGTTGTTATCTTGCTCTATCATCTTCTGCTACCTATAAATGATGAGTCAATTAATAACTGTCATCAAAATGCAATATTTAAAACCAATAATTGTTTTTAATAAGTCAAATCTAGGCATGAAATGTAACTCAATTGCATGCATACATTGAAATAGTACCACATACTGCATTAGTTGAGAAATTGAATATTTAAAATCACAAATGCAAGTTTGATGATGGGGGGTAGACCCTTTGTCAGCATCTAATCCCAGAATTTATTTATGAAATCTTCTCAGTATACTTCTCATTGTGTGTGAGCATTGCAGTTTCAGCTTTGAACAAACTTTTATTTCAGTTTCAGTACTAGTCACAAAGAAGTTCTTGTTTAAACTTTGGTTTTAGTTTCAACTTTAATGACCTGAAAACAAACACCAACAGGTTTTTGGCTGTTTGGCAGTCCAACAGACAGACCATAATGGCAGTCAATTTTTTAATCTGAAGCAGATTCAGAGTAATATCTCTCTCTTTTTTTTTTTGTCTCATACTACTTTTACCACACAAAAAGAGGCAATTGAACAAGAGTTGAAAAAAAAAATAAAGCAAGCATAGATTGGAAACATCAACCCTCCCCCAAATCCTATAAAATTCAAAGCTCCACCATTGATGAAGAAAGCTATGGCAACAATTTTTTTGGATGCATGGAATGCACTTATGACTAATTGATTTTAAAAAATTAGACCATTAGTGGTGATTTATGGTTCCACTCTTCATAATTGAAATCTATAATGAAATGGAAACATCATGGACTTTCAATGGCCAGTTTCTATGGCTTCATAACAATTCATGTCCATATGATGCACTCGTTCCATGGGAAACCATTCCACAGTTTGATTTGACAGTACTCCCTCATCTTGGATAGAGCCCAGACTTAGCACCCTCTAATTTCCATCTTTTTGCACCATTAAAGGATTCCTTATGTGGAGCACATTTTTGCAGCACTGATGAGGTGCAAATGGCAGTCACTATGTGGATCAGAGATGCATTAGCACAGTTCTTATGTTTTGGTGTTTTTAAATTTGTTACAAGTTGGCAAATACTAATTGCAGCAAATAGGGACTGCATTGAGAGGCCACTCAAATATAGTTCTAGGAATATCAAGAGTGAGAGAATATGCATTGTGTCTTATTTGTCTGAAACAAAAAGAGACTTGTTTATATTGGACTATTGATGTCAGGTGATTGATAAGAGTCTTACAGCAGAGGGCTCCAATAAGAAAGCCACCAGAACGCATGAACATGATGTAGGCAACCTCCTCAGGTGTCTTCCCCATGTTGGCAGCTAAATCAATCAGTGTTGAAGAGATGATATTCACCAACATACCCTGCCAGTGAAAGGAATTAATATTCTATTTTTAAAAAGGCACTTTAGTTTTACTTCTTTAAATGAAGGAGAATCACTCTTACCAATCCAACAAACCCAACAAGGAGACAAAATGTAGCTTTATATCTCATATATTTGCCTTCTCCAGGACTCTTTTGTCTTGTATGAAGATCACTGTGATGGGGCAAGTAATCACCAAGGGTAGCAGTTGGAGGCATCATGGGTGATTCCTCTGAGTTCACTCTACCAGCTATTTGGGAGAGTGGTAATACCTCCCGCTCGGCCTCCTCCCTTGTGCAATTCATGTCCTGTATCTCCATTCTTTCTACTTATCAAGGAAGCAATGCATCCAAGTGCATCTAGCAAAATTCTCAAAGCAGTTTATATCAGTAGCATATCAAAGGAAATGGAACTCTATTTTCTGTATCCCTGTAGTTCCTGCTTCCTTCTTTCATAGCACGGACACATAAAGGTAGACATGCAGAAATCAACTTGTGTTCTTCCATTCAAGAAAGCTCTTTAGCCATTCCATCAAAAAGTGGAATGATAATTTCACATCTATCCTATACAAGAGCTCACACCTCATGCAAATAGATAAGTTGGACTAAGTCCAATGACAAAAGTGATCCATCTTTAACTCTTTCGCAGTGGTGGTCGACTTTTTTCACACGGCAGGTAGTCCTACCTAACCCATATCGATTCTACTATGCAGGAAAAGAGTTAAATGCATGTCATAAATGATAAGGGGAAAATGTAATATGTTGAATATTATGAATGATCTGACACAATGGTGAATATGGAGCTTGAAATATTCATAAAAGAGCAAGATTTTTCCATTCTTTCAAACTGATGAATGACAATTAGGAATAATCACCTTTTCAAAAGAGTGTGAATATTCTCTTCCTCCTGGTGCAAATTCCAATTTTCTTCTATTCTCATTATGCAAAAGTCAAATGTCAAAAAGATGTCAAAAGAGTAAGTTCTTGTCCTAATAAATTTGAAATTCTTTATTCAACCTTTGTCAGATCATCAATGATATGATGAAAGAAGGGGGGAGGATAATAAAGTGATACCTGGAGAAAGTGTATGAGCAAATGGTGTTGGAGGGATCATCCAGAATCTCCTTTCATCCAGCCCAATATGATGAGCATTTTTTAAATTTCAAATTAACATTTTTATGAAATGCCTTCAAAGTCAAATCACATCTGGTTTACATTGGCAACTTCCAGTAAGAATTTGGTGAACCAGCAAACAATAATTCATTAGTATTCCTACAAGTATTGATAACAGCTTTATGCTGATAGACATCTAGATGATAGCAGAACAAACCTTATTTCTTTTCAGAGAAAAGAGACAGAGCACCATCAGCTTTTGGAGGCATGAAACTAAATTTCAAGAAACTGCACCAGATGTTCCCATCCAGGCAGTAACACGTTCCTCTCATTCTTGTGAACATAGTGCATGCAGAATGTGTATACCCATACAGTCGACTCCCGTTATAACGAACACGGATATAGCGAAAACCTGGTTATAACGAAATCCTAGCCTTTGCCTGGTCGAATGCCCATAGACGCCCATATGAAAAAATTCGGATATAACGAAATCGGTTATAGCGAAATTTCGGCTATAACGAAAGACTTCTCATGTCCCCATTAAGAAGGGGCATCAGATATAACGAACTTTTCCTTCGAAGTGAGTGAGGGATTATTTTTTTTAATGCTTTCTTTCTCTCTTTTTTTTCGCCTGGGAACGAAGGGTTCAAGTTCTTATCTTAATCCTTCACCCGTATCTGTCCCTCAACTATTAGTTATCACCCCCATCCATCCCACAGGGATTAGCCTATCGCGTTAAAAAGTCACCTCCCACAGCATCCCTGGTCTCCTAAAGTATAAATTGTGTCGAAGACTTTATGGGTCATTCTGTATTCCGAGTTTTGTTCGCTCGTTCGTCTGAGTTCACGGATTTGTGGTCAAAGTTCACGTGTTCACTCATCAGCGGCAGTGAAATGGCACATGTGGCCAAGAAGAGGAAGTGCATGTCTATTGAACTGAAAATAGACATTCTGAGAGAAGTCGAGGAAGGGAAACTGAAGAAGGGCGAGATTTCCGCGAAGTATGACATCCCACCATCGACGCTTTCTTCCATCGTCAGCGCTAAAGAAAAGATTCGCAAGGAATTCTTCAATGCCAGCTTTGCTCCAGGAAGAAAGAAGTTGAGAGGTGCAAAATACGGTGACATTGAAGAAGCTTTATTTGAGTGGTTCCAGCAAGCACGTGCCTGCAACATCGCCCTTGATGGGAACACCATTCGGCAGAAAGCCGCAGAACTGGCGAAGGTATTGGGGATCGAGAAACTTGAGTGCTCTTCTGGTTGGCTCTCTCGCTTCAAGGACAGACATGGAATCGTGTTCAAGAAAGTTTGTGGGGAAGCCGGAAGCGTGCCTGATGAAATCGTCAACAAATGGAAGAATGAGACTCTTAGAAGCATAATAGGCAGCCATCGCCCAGAGGATATTTTCAATGCCGATGAGACAAGTCTATTCTTCAATCTCACACCTGAAAAAACTATGCAGGTAACCCATGCAATGGAAAACGACTAATCATACAGATTAATTCCCTTGTAATCCCCTTTACCTGTGCCTTGAATGGTTTGAAGGTGACATTAGACCTGACCCTCTGCCACTCCTGTACTCCTTGCTTATTAGCTGAAGGGAGAGAAGTGCATCGGCGGTAAGAAGAGCAAAGAGCGCCTTACTGTGTTGCTGTGCACCAACATGTCAGGAACAGAAAAACTGCAACCAACTATCATCGGCAAGTTCGAGAAGCCTCGTTGCTTCCGAGGTGTACGACATCTGCCCGCAAATTACCGCCACAGTAAGAAGGCATGGATGACAACTCCCCTTTTCATTGAATTCCTCCGATGCCTTGATGCAAAAATGGGATGCAAAGGGAGGAAAATTCTCCTCTTCATCGACCATTGCCCTGCCCATCCACCGGGCATCATAAAGCTAAGAAACGTGGAAGTGGTGTACTTTCCTGCCAATTCAACGAGCCAACTACAACCCCTAGACCAAGGGGTGATTGCGGCATTGAAGCGGAAGTATCGGAAACGACTCATTCGTTCTCTTCTGTGGCACTTACGTACAAAGGGGATGGACCATGTCAAAGAGCACGGATTGCCGAAATGGAACGTGCTTGATGCCATGCACCATCTCGTCGCAGCATGGAATGACGTCAGTCAGGAACTCTTTTTTTCCTTCAAATTCTAGTGCGCAGCTTCTCACGTTTACCTTTCTACAGGTAAGTCCTGATGCCGTAGCAAACTGCTTTCGAAAAGCTGGCTTCTGCCATGGCGAATCTACACAGGAGGAAACTGATATTGCTCCTCCAATGGAGAGCGACGACGCCTGGGAGGAAATCGCCTCTCAGTTGCAAGTGGGCTGTGAATTCACACAGTTCGTGAATATTGACGAGGACGTTCCCACGTGCGAGCCGCTTCCCAATCCTGCTATGTGTGCAGAAGCTCACGGAGTTATGGAGTTAGAAGATGCTGCCAATGAGGAGGAAATGGAAGAACAACCAGCCATACCCAAGTCACGGAATGTTATGGAAGCAGTGGAAACGATCAAGCTGCACCTTTATCATGCATGCCACGGAAATGAAAAAATGCTTAGAAAAATCTCGGACATAGAGAAATTCTTTCTGAAGCGGGCGACTTCAAGTCGGCAAACATGTATCCGAGATTACCTGCAGTCATGAGTGCCGTGTTCTGAAAGCCCAAATTTTTTCCCCCATGTTTTTATATGCTCTTAGTGACCAAGTGATTGTTGCTACTCTGGACACCCACGAAGGTTCTTGTGTTCTCTGCATGAAAGGGATAATAAAATATGTAAATGAGGCCATAAAACAGATAAAAAGTCCTTTAAATGGAGCTGTATGACCTCCTGTCCTGATATAACGAAAACTCGTTATAACGAAATAATTCCTGTGGCTTTATCGACTTCGTTATAACGGGAGTCGACTGTAGTTTGTCCAGTCCCAAAAAGGACCATTCTTTACCCACAAAGATATGCATAAGTCCCATTTTTCATTATTTTCCTTTTTCCTCTTCCTTCTGCTCCCCAAAGAACAAGTTTTAAACAAACACATGGCAGGGGCCTGACAGGCTTTGGCAGGTCATAAGAAATGGCACCCCTTTAAGGGCCAATACCACCTAGTCCTTTCTATAACTGGACAGACTTAACATGAATTCTTTTGCTAATTTATAGGTGGTAGATGGATGCATTTGCAAGGATAATACCTCTCATCCGTCATGGAGAGGACTCTGTTTTGCAGATAAGGCACAACCCAATGTCGCATCCATGGGCGTGCCTTAACAAGACAGCCGAGGGCAAACTGCACCAAGCATGAAAACCGATTATGGTTGAAATAAAATCCTTTATTCTTGATCCAGGAATCTCATATGCAAACTGGACTTTGCATGGGCCACTGGAAGTGCATGGATGCCTACATAAAAAGTGTGTAGGCGAGATTTGGCACACAAGCCAAAAATGATGCCAAGGCTCATAAAAAATACCAACTAAAAACTCAAGGCACTAACTGATCTACAATGACTGATGGATCATGGAGGGAATTCTTTGACTATCAGAGACAGGTTTGGGTGAGAGATGTGCACCATAAATCCAGAATAATCTCTGGAAGGCTTAATGTCTGGTCTCATAACTTGATGGTATGTCATGTTGACAATATAGCAAGCAATTTCAAGTATCTTCAAAATAAAAATATGTCCTTTTGATTACAAAGGTGAAAGCTCAAGATTTAAAAGCCATGTGAATAGCAAGAAAGGAGGGCAGAAACATCAGAAACAACACAAACAATTTCAACACAAACAATTGTTCTCTGGTACCAAATGCAAAACGAATGAATGATTCATTGCATATAAGAATCAAAACAGGATTGAGTCATGATCAAAACAAAGGATGACAATGCTGATGACAGCTGACAAGAAAAATGAAAGGCATGAATTACCAAGCCAAGGATAAAATATAAAACCATTCAAAATCAGCAAGAAAACAAAAGTGCAAAGGAGGGGCAAGAGAGTGAAACAATGGGGAAAGGAAGAGAAGGCTGTGAGGGGAGGGAGGGGGGTGGAGGTGAAACCAGGACTGGTCCCTTTACTTAGTGCTTTCTTGAGTCCAAGTTAGGAATGTAATCTCGCGCCATGAGACATGCAAACACAGTCATCACCATCTTGGGCTTCACCTCAGCAATGTCCTCTGGCAAAGCATAGATGCGTGCACCAATCTTGCGAGCCATTGAGATGGCATACTTCGCATTGGCCAAATTGTCCTATGAAGTATTGATAAACCAGTATTTTAAATACCTGATACTAGTGACAGAATCAAGTTTTAACATTGAAATTTGAAAGAACAACAAAAAAATCCACTCTACTTACATCTGGAGTTCCACCTGAGTGAACGTGTTCATAGCTCACAGTTCCAGGCTTGATAGCATCGATCAAGTCAATGACAACCCTGCCATCAGCTACTGAGGAATCCTAAATGCAGGAGGGAAAATGCTGTAGGGACAGAAACACAGAGCAACTAGAAAAGAGCAGATGTAAGGGCCTGACCTGGAAACTCCGGATTGATGAAGACTTGCCAGCTGAAGAAAGCTTGCTGTTGACCCAGTCAATGATCTCCTTCTCAACAACTGGATTCCCAGTCTGAGTCAACTGAGTCAGGATAGAGAGAGTGTATGCTCGCATTAATTGCCATATGAGTGCTAGTGTGAGCGTTTGGTTCCCATCATTCAGGTCTTGCCCGGCAATCCCCACCAAAGAGAACTTGAGCTTCTTGCCTAGTTCTACAGCATAATTACAGTTCTCCAGCTTCTCCATGAACTTCCTCAACTTTGTGAATTTTCTGAAAACCAATGATGCAAAAAAAAAATTAAATAATCTGTGAAGATGGAGATGGATCCAGGATCTAAAAGAATGCTCACTTATGAACACGATTCCAGTCAACAATGCCTGGACGAATGACATCGTAAAGCTGGAAGATGACAAGTCCGTCTGCCAAGTCAGAATACAGCCAGTTCACATGAGGGCTCACTCCCATGGAGTTCATCCAGTTTCTGTATGCTAAAAATATTATTGAAAGCACAAAGATGCAAAGCAGAGATTAGTCCCATGCTGTCAATCAGAAAACAAAATATCAAGTTCTCCAACTCCTTACTTTTCTCTTCCCGGGTCTCCTCAATGTTATCAATCATGCTCATATCAATGTCATCTGGCTTGTCCAGGGCTGGATGGTTGTTGAAGAGGTTGGCAACAAAAGCCAAGTTCAGTTTATAAACACCCTCAACAACATCCTGGGGGGCGAGGAAGCTTCTGCAACCCAGCTTCTCAGCCTGTTGGAGCATGACCTCTGCCCGATTCATCATATCAGACTCCTGTCAAAAGAGACTCTGGGTCAGACCAGTAACATGAAAAAGCTCTTATAAGTGTCAAAGTCTCTCCAATTTTTCTAACCCGTAGGGCTTCCAATGTAACTCCAGCATCATTTGGAGCAATCTGTTTCAACAAGTGGGAGTAAATTTCTGAATCCTTCACATCACTGGTGAAGTTATGAAGACGTCTGCAAGATAAAAGAAGCAAATCTCAAACTGCAACAGAGTGCACAAGATATTAGGATCTGATTCAAGATAGGATTCAAGAGCTTACCTGTCCACCCCAGCTCTTTCTAGTTGATGGTTAACCCATCGAATGAGGATGGCTTCTGGAGACAGCTTCATCATATCATCAAGCTGCTCTCCAGGTTGGAGAAGTGCAGCTAAGCCAGGACAATTCTCAAGAGTGATTTGGTTGAACAGACCAATCTGCAAGCAGCAGGAAGGATTTATGTTCATTTTGCATCCACTCAGGGAGTTGTTCTCATGACAGGAGACACTGAAAGCTACAGCTTACCCTGATGATCTGCCAAAGAAGTCCAAGAACGAGATGTGGCTTGCCCTTAGCGAGATCATGGGCATCAATGTTGATCACATTGCAGCCAATTGCCTGAGCTGAGTTAAGAGCAAGTGTCAAGTTTTCATGTTTTGTATAAAGAGTGAGACTCTTTTTGTTGATCACTCGCTCATCTATTGTGTCTGGGCATGAAAGGTTGATAACTTTGCTGCATAGGGAAGAGAAAACAAATTCATTCTCAGGCAAGCAATTTGAAACAACAAAGCAGCTCCTCATGGCTGACAAAGAAAGACTCCTTACCACAGGAGGATTCCATCCTTGACAGCATCATACAGTTTCTTGCCCTCAGAGTCAAGTGGCATCAAGTGTTTCAGGTCAGGGTCTCCACCCAAGTTCCTGCTCAAGTCAGAATTCAAGTAGTGTCAGAAAAGGATGTGGAAGAATAGCCTTTAAGCAGAGCCTCTGATGGAAAAGGTCAGCTATAAGATCTTACGTGTTGATCCAGTCTGAAAAAGCAAGCTGTTCCTCCAAACGAACACTATGAGTTGTTCCCTCACTGCTGGCCTCTGACATTCCTCCCAATGTTTCCAAGTTCTCTCTGCGAGATACAACCTGCTTGAATGTTGAACCAACCTCCTGCGACTTGAGGTCTGCACACAACTGTAAATGGAAATCCCCATTAGATTAGGAACCAGGATTAGACTTAATTCTGTTCATGATCATAGTCCTCACCTGTTGGAAGTCCTCAAAGGAAAGCCTGCCATCTCTATTCTTGTCAACATCCTGGATCATCTGCCGGATCTTATATTGGGGAACTTTGAACCCAACTACTTCCAGGGCTTCTCTCAACTCCTTCACGTCTATGTACCCGTTTCCATCTCGATCAATCTGCAAGAAAAATATTTGTCCCTCTTCACACAGATCATGCATGTCTACAGAAGTAACCTGAATGAAATGTTCAGTAAGTCAGCACTATTGTAGGAATAAAAACCCAAGAACATAAATATAGGAAATTTTCTCTTTGGAAGAAATGAAAAGCTTTGGAATCTTTAAATGGTAATACATAGTGATCTTTGATGTGGCACATTGGAATATTAGCTGCCAGCTGGCTGTATGTAGCATGAGACAGCAGTCATAGGAAATCCTCCCAAATAATATTTTTAATATTATAAGTATCCCCTGACCATGGAAAAGAAGCTCACAGATGCCAGATTCGAAAGAATGCAATTTAAGGCTCCTCCCCATGTGGGCATCATGGTCCACTGAACATTTCACTTTACTTTGCCTTGAAAAGACTAAGAATAATGACATATATCAACTGCAGATGTTGGTCCCAGCTGGAGCTTTTTAATATATGAAAATCATCAGTCTGTGAATCTAATGAATCCATATCATAGCATCAGGAAGGAATTAAATTGAAAAAGGCTTCACAAAAAGCAGCATTAATCTCATGTCTGAATTGAGGTGGATAATTTGAAAATTACATGATATAATATTGTATACCCAGGGCACATCATAAATAAATAATAAGGAAGCCTATTTTTTCATGGAATTTTAATAGAATTTCAACATCCCTTAACTACTCATAGCTGATTAAGTGGGGATGTAAAGGACAGGGCTTTCACAACAGAGTCCCCCTAAAAAAATTTCTCTCAGCTATTTTGTCATTTTGCATCCATTTCATCAGTCACATGATAGACATGTTAGAAGAACAATATGACTTTCCTGAGCTACCTTCATAATTCAGAAAGATGTTTCCGATTCCCAGTGTTCCTGAAGTTAAATTTCAAAAATTAGCACAAGGCACTACCAAAAATGCTCATTGCATGCTTGTAAAAGAAGCTGATAGACCTATGGAAATGACAGTGTATGGGTTTGTTGGCCAAACTAGAATAAAATCTGCAGTGAGCTTTATTGGTTGGCCATCTTTATGAGAGATACTGTCACACACATCATTGCAACAGGATGTGCCACTAAAATGTAATCAACCAGATAAGTCACTGGATTATGATCATGGAGCCATTAGAGGGGAGATAAAACGCAGCTATGGATAAGGTATTATCATGAGAGCTGAATCGACCATATTATGCCATTTACCACCTATGCCTCCCCAATCTGCTTCCTAAGAGTCACCCCAACAACAACAACAAAAAAAACAGATAGGAAAATCCCTATTCTTATTCACCAGCTTGCATGTAAGGATGGGAATCAAAATACTTAACCAAGCATAAATTATAAATACATTTTAAAGCAGCAACAGAACTGTACACTTTTAATTGAAATACTTTCAAAGCTCACTATCCTGTATTTTCATATTAAATTGGATTTTGCAACATAGGACTTTTTATTTTAAGTTCTTCAAAACAGCACTAGTCAATTACTTACTTGTTACTTAATTATGGCTACAAAGATGAACAGAGATTATACAGATACAAAATTCAAAGCCTTTGTCACGCATTTTTTTTCCAGTTCCCGGCCGTTTGCCCATTCAAATAAAATGTAGAGAAGTTTCTCTAAAACGAAGTTCTGTACAACGAATTGTTTGGTTACAAGTTGTTTTTTCGTCCAATGGCACAAAACTGTTCTGTATTACTAAGTTTAAATCTGCGTCACATGTCAGAGCTATATTTTCTTTCTCGTATTCCTGTAAAATCTCATCTCACATTTTTTTTTTTTAGCATATTCCGCCCACTTATTCGTGTGGCCGTGGGAAGTATAGGAGCTGTCAGTCAATCGTAATCTTTTCCGGATCTAAAGGATGAGGGTAAGGCGGAGTCCAGAATCACAGTTGATCGGTTTAGCAATCGAAGCCTTCGACTATGTTCGGCTATTTTTGAGAGAAAGGTCGGTGACTCGTCCGATTTTTATTACACCTACATAAGGACACACTGCTGTGTAGGCCCATTTAAGTATATACACATATCTCGGAAGCTGTATTTTTTTGCAATAAGACACGCTCTCAGACAATCGCATTTTTTCACGACAGCACCCTTTTTGGGAATAAATTACATTTTGTTTAAGAGACCTATTTATTTCCAGCAAAATGTGGGGAATTCCCTATAACGAATTTTCCTTGTGTCGAAATTTTTTAGCCTGTCCCTTCGAGTTCGTTATAACGAGCGTTGTTCTTTGTCAGAACAGTGACAAAGCAGGTTCATCAAACAACATAGTAATTCGGTTACATGGAATGCAGACGACACAATGCTCATACCACATTCCATTGAGGGGGTTTGGCCTTTCCCCCTAATAAGATATTGTATTTCACTACCGTGAGAATCCCACTGAGGACTTCATTCATCAGGCCGCAACATATATTCAACGGTCTTACAAAAGAGTAAAAATGCAATTTAAAAAAGTCACGTTGCATAGTCGAACATTCCTCAATTCTCATATTGCAGTAAAAATGGGGGGGATGGAGGGGAGGGGGCCGAATTCTTCCCCCGAAAAAATTCCGAAATTTGTCAATAATAAAAACCATGAATAAACAAACAAACCTTGTACATTTCCAAATTAACCCGGTAGCTCTTTCGAGTCTAAATGATCTTTTTTCTTCTTTTTTTTTACTTTCAAGGCATTTTCACGGCTTGTAACGGCGATACATGCAGGGAATTACAAATTTCCTGCATGCATCACCGCAGAGGGGGAAAAAAAAAAACAACAAAAAACAACACAACCCCCTGTATCATCGAAAATCTGGGCATTCTAACTAGTTTTTCTTCCAATTTAAACGCAGCCACATGAAAGTCGAGGCGAGCGAAAGCCGAAAATGGAAAAGCAGGAAGACCTGTCCCCGACGCCAGTTCCGCCCACGAGCCGCTCTCTCGGCACACAGGGAGAATAAGGAAGAGGAAGACCATTATCGTCTATCCATCCATTGATAAGCGAGTCCGTGCCGGGGGGCAGGGGAGGGAGCCAGTGAGTCGCGATTGTGACACGCGCTCCTCAAAGGGAGGCTGTGTTTCCATAAAAAGAAGACGACCTCCACCGAGGTCTTCTTCCTCTCCGTCACGTATTAATACCACATTCAGCCTTCCTCAGTTACCCACAGAGCTCCAGTTCCAAAAGTCGAAGACAAAGAGGGGGGGCGGTAAGGACGAACGTCGTCGTCTCCATCGACACAATGCCAGAAATCTCCGGAGGGGGGGGTATTGTTTCCGTCTTCAAACGATCGAGGAGGCCCCTGTTCACACCTCATCGCGGATTCATGCCTCCTGTACGTGGCCTATCAGTCACGCGAGACAGGTATATGACTCTCATCAAACGGGGTGCACGATCCCCCCAGGCGACCAACGATGTCCATAATGTCACGCACAGTTGTTATCTTGGGAGTACGATGCTTCTGCGATAAACGCCCCAGTTTGATGACGATCGCGGAACCCGTTTGCCGAGATATCCGATTCCACCCTCGAATGAGTAAGACCTACTTGTCTACGAAAAAGGAAACAATGATACTCGAAACAGGAAAAAAAAAGTAAGGAATCTGCACGGAAATGAAGGTGCGGCGGGGCAAGAAAACGTGAGGAAGAAACGGGGTTTCTCACTCTCGCACGTTACTGTCGCCGTGACCTTAATTGCTATCTCACGTCACCTGGCGACGGGTACAGTCTCCTTGCCGGTGCTCCATTTTGCAACATTTACCCCTCAAGCACTCCATAGAGGCGAAGCATCAGTCGAAAGTTGACATTATCTATCACACCCGGCAAATGATTCATTATGAGAGGGGGCTCACGGCCTTGAGGGATATCCCGGGTTTTTTTCTTCCCCTTTTTTTTTTTGTTTCCCCTTCGCACACTGACCGCACCTTCTATTATGTGCACGGAGGAGGAGACGCGTCGGAATCGTCGTACTCGATGTTACGCTTCCAAGGCCGGCCACGACCCGCCCAAGGGCCTGCCATTTTTATTTATGGTCACTCTATAAGCGACTGAGTCATCATCACTGACCCAGTCCCCCTCCCCCCTCGCAACCGCGTCCAATGACATTAACCGGACGACAGGTAATCGACGGCCGGGCAAAGAGTAAAAAAAATTGCTCTTATTCGTTCCGCCCAGCGGAGCAACGATACTTTCATCGTGAGCTTTGGCAAACGAGTTGAATACCCTCTCGAGATACGTGACCGAAAGTCCAAGAATGCGGACGCGTTTTCCCCCAAGACAGGTCTCAGTGGCCTCAACGTAACAAGTAAACAAGTGTCGAGGCAGATCGAGCCCCGCCCGCCCGAAACGATCGGACGGAAAGAAAAAAAAAAAACCTCGAGAAGCGCCTACGGAATGAAATGAGGCATACCCGACGAGGAAGCGTCTGCCAAGCCTTGAGCTCGTGCACGAACTCCTTCAACGCATCGAATCGCTCCACGTCCAAGATTTCCATCACGATCCTCGAGCCCTCTCTCCCATACGGTCCGTGCATGCACGCACGCTGTTTTGCGTACAGTGCAGGCGGCCGGGACGCGAAGAGGGTTTACGGCCTCGCGACCGCGAGACAGGCAGGTGGTCAAGTGTGCCACGGGTCCCTTATTCCTCGCGCGTTTCTCCCTTGCCTAATGCACACGGCCGAGGCGAGATCCGACCGGAGGCGTGGAAACACCGAGACGAAATCCGGTCCGAAACTGAGAAACGACACGGCGCGTTTCCCCGACTTTATCGGCAACGGGATTTTCTCGCATGGATGGATCTGGGAAACCGCGGATCATTTCATCGGCATGGGAAACCTTCAACCCCATTCCAAACGGCGAAACTGGAGGAAAAAAAAGAAACCGTCGCCCAAATCCAAGCAATAAACCGGGGGAAAAAAAAACCGGAATGCATTCTCAGACGAATCCGCAATTCGCGCTCGATACCGCTGGGATAAACGTGAGCGTGACACGCCGACTTCTCGTTTCCGTTCCT